CAATCCCTGAGGCTGAGGACGTGTAAGCGACGAGAGGATTCCTCGGGCCAGTTGCTCAAGAAGCACAGGTATTCCTTCGAGCGACTTCTACACGCACTCCATAGTATTTGTCTTTCTCCGTCGTCGAGCGACACGTGGGCATTGCATTCTATCGCGCACGTCAAGGACGGAGGGTCTTCCGTAGGTGGCTCTGTCGGTCCCGGGTTTCTGCTTTGCGAGAGTCTCGGCCGTCTCACCTCGGTTTTTGGGTCCTTCTACTCCACTTTTCCCTCGATGCACCGATTTCACTCTTGGAAACGGGGATACGTTCTTGGTGGTAAAAGTCACGGTGTAGATGGCAGTTGCCGCGAATTTGTGTCGGTCGAATCTGTGACGTAGCATCTTTGGACGTCCTCGTCGTGCATGAAACAGTCGCTCTCGTCTTGTACAGTTTCGACTTCGAACGGCCCCGAGAGCGATTCGGAACTTTGTGCAAAGAGGAGTCGCATTCCGAGCTCATTCTGATCGGCTTTCCCGGCGTTCGTTTCCCCAGCGCCACGTTTGCCGCCTTCTCCGGCCTCAACGCGTCGGACTCCCACTGGAATCTGGACATGAAGGAGTTGGAGTATTCTCCCAGTGCCAAGGACACGGACGACAAGCGGATCAACCATCTCTTGGACGTTTCCATGTTCAAACCGTATCGGAGGGTGAGGACGGCGGCTGTTGGGTCTCTGGAGCCGGCTGGGGTCGTGGCTGGATCGTTCTGTTTTTGTTTTTGCTGTCGTGTCTTTGCAGTACGGTCGAGCTCCGAGGTATCGGCGTCAAGCCGTCTGCGACCGAGACCTCGGTCAGACGTCTCATAACAGGACTTACGTCAACATGAGAAGATACATCAGTGATCATGCCTCTCGCCATGCTGCTTGTCACAAGAAAGCACTGGTGAGCCGACTTTTTCCTCATTCTTATTCAGTCCCAGAAAAGCGATTATTCTTTTAGTTTCTTCGGGTTAGATGGCTAGCTTGCTCTGGACTGCCATTGATTATTACCTTTCTCCTGGATTTTCTCCTCCTTTGCCGCACAGAAAGCGGGGAACAAAGCCAACGGGAATGTGCCAAACGGGAAGAACCTGAAAAATGTATCCTTTGCCGTGGATCGCATCGACGAGAGTGCCCAAAAGTCAACTCCCCAGAGTGCGTGCCGACTTCGTCCTACTATCTTCCCCCAACTCTATCGTTTCGAATGCGTCCTTGGCTATGCTTTTATTTGCTCTTTTTTATGTACTTCCTTGCAGAGAATGAGCGGAAGGGGACTCCTACCCATTCCGTGGAAGTGAATGAGGAATCCGACCGGATGCCTAACGACGACGAGGGGATCATCTTCTTCACGGCATCTGGCCGTTCCAGTGAGTCACATCGTATGGGTGTCATGAGCATGATTCACTTTTTTATTTTTATGTATTATTATTTAGATCTCATTTAACGAATTCTGAGTCACACAATCCCCCAATTTTTCCTCATCCAGTGTGTTTCTGTGTGGGATTACTTTGCATGTGACTCATCGTGTTGGTTCGTTCTTATTATTTGGTATTCGTTACTCTGTTCACGTCATTGGTTATACTGCCCAGTACGTAGAGCCTTGGTTAACCGATGTCGTGCGATGTTCGAAGCATGCCCTGCATGAACCTGCCTTTCCCCCGTTCGCAGGTGAAGTGGGC